TTACTTATTTAATAATTATGAAAGTGATTAATGCTAATCTAATAACAAACTATAATAAGCAATTAAAACACAATCTACTTTTAAAATGATTAAAGGATTAAATAGATGACTAATGACAAAGGCCTATTGCTTTATTTTAATGGATCTGAAACGTATTTGTTAAAAGTGGACTAGCAAACAAATCACAAACTTGTAAGCATGGTCAATAAATAAAATAAACAAGTAGCACGTAATTCCCCTCCCTTTAGGCGATCCCCAAGTTATTTCATATATGGAGAGAGTTAAAGTTTACAAATTATTACAAGACAACTAATAGTAATTGAATAATATACAAAATATAAAGTAAACAAAATCAACATGTCTAATGTTTTCCTTCATGACAACTCTTCAAATCTTCCATCTTTAAGCTCAAAAACCCTGTTAACGCGAGAAGACACAGCCAAATACTAATAACAACAAAGGTGCGCAGTAAGATTTGTTCCACATACATGTAGCCTCACAATCCATTAAGCAAAACACCCAAATATATCACATAGAAGATATGGGGTAAATGGAATTAACTCGGATGCCTCCCTTTTATTTTATTCATACATAGCATTCCAAAGAAACATATGTAAAACGAAGATGAACTAATGAAATAGAACTAACCGATTATGCAGAGTATAATTGTCAGCAATGCAGACGAACTTAATTCAAATAGACCCGTACACAGCAAAATCGAATGAAGGATCCTCTTAGAGTTCACAAAAACCTTTGTATTATTTCTTTCTTTTAGAGAGAATTTTGCTAATTGCTAATTGCTAGAAGGTGGGTGTCCTAAGCATGAGAGTGATAATAAAAGAGGGGTCTCTTTATATAGTGAAGGGAAGGGCACATAATAAAGGAAAAGAAATAATTAAGGGATCAGTTATAACATGCTTTCCTTAAACAAAAGGAGTATAAAATCATACCCATATTTATTCTTTTTACCAAATATAAACAAGTAAGAAATCTGGTTAAGCTTAATTAAGGTGAGGAAATAAATTAATAAGAGCACATCTCGGCCCAATTTCCTTAAACAAACAATATAAAGAAATCAACAGAGATCCTTTACCAAAAATAACCAAAAGTAAACAACAGTATATAATATAAATACGGTAAAGAATCAACTAACAAGTCGTCTTATTTACTAATATTAAGGATAGTTATTTAAGAGTAGGAATATAATTTACAGCCCTAATATCTTGCCATAACAAGACAGTGCAAATTGGTAAGAATCAATTACTTCAATCATGAATGACAATTAATAAGTCCAAATCAGCGAAGAGAGGAAACGATAAAAGGTAAATTACATATATTATCGATATTATCAAAACAATCTACAAGAGGAAGTATTAAGGCGCCAATTGCAGGGACCAATCACTAAGATAGAGAATAGGCAATTATGCGTTATTATAATCAAACTCCAAAATTAATTCGATAAAATTCTACACTATACAATTTATTCTAATTCTAATTTCACCATGGTGTAAGGTCAATTAAGGATAACCATAAATAATAATACTAACAATTATTAAAGATTACATGGGATCAATTATATTTAAACTCATCAAACTAGACTCCAAAATTAAATTGAGCAATTAAAGGCATAAAGATCAGTTGAGCTAGACAACACATTATTTGTAATCTAATTTCAAAACAATGTAGGATCAATTAAGGAGTAAAATATGCAGAGATGAGTGAACAACTATGCTCCAAACAACACAATCAAGCAATAGGCGGGAACAAAGCATGGGCCTCCTTTAACAGAGTTTAACATGTAATACTAGGACACCAAAACCAACAACAACAATGGTTCATAGGATCAGAAAATTAAAACCAACAGTAGCATTTCTTTGAGTGGGAATAACTTCCATATAACAATAATACGAATTAATCAAGCAAAATTAAGCGATGGTAGTTAAAAAGAACAGAAACGAACCTGGACGGATCTTAGTAGATCCGTCTATTTTTGGTGAGCTCAAAATCTCTAAAAAGGGACCCCGTCGGAGCTCGACGTTGTCGCTGCTGGTCGGAGCTGTTGCTGTCATGGGTTGTCGCTGGTTGCAGCTGTGTTTCTCACCGGCTGCTGCTGATTTTCGCGCCTGGTGGTTGTCCGGAGCTGCTGGTGTTGTGTGCCTCGCCAGGCACTGCTGTCCAGTGCTACTGGCAGCTGCTGGTTGCGTTGGTGGCTGCTGGAGTTGTTGCTGTTGTCGCTGCCTGGGTGCTGCTCGAGTTCGCCGGAAAAGGAGAGAGCGGCGCTGGCCTGCTGCTCGGAGCAGCGTCATTGCTGCTGTCCACCGGAAAAAGGAACGGAGGCGGCCAGCGCCTGCTGGTCCTCGCGTTGCTGCTCCTTCGCCGGAGAGAAAGAGAGGGAGAAGAGAGAAGAAGGGAGGCGGCTAGAGAGGAAGGGGAGGAGGAGAATGAAAAATGATTTAGGGTTTTGGTCTTTAGATTAAAATAGGAAAGAGTTATAGGAATCGATCTCGTCCGTTGATTTAATTAGATGAAGGGCTGGGATTTAAACGGAATGAGATGAACGGTCAAGATTTAAAAGAGGGGTTTTAAATCAGATTTGATTGGATTTGGAATGGCCAAAATTTGAAATAAATTTGGCTAGAATTGCAATGAGGGGATGGTTATTATTGAAATAAAATTGGAATTGATATGGCTAGAATTGAAATGAATTAGAATAGAATAGGCTAAAATTTAAATGATTTGGGGGGGAAATTTAGGAATTGATATCCAATTAATAAATTTTATATTTTAAAATATTTTCATATACGTTATACACATCTAAGTTTCTTAAAACATTTAAATAAGTAATTATTTCGAGTTTAACTATCCATAAAATCATTTAATAATAATTACAATAAATTTTTAAAAATCCCACTTACTAAAATATATAATTTTTAGACAAAATCGACTAAAATCTTGAACTCGAAATATTTTTAAAAATACTTATTTAATCGAATAGCATTCCTAAAAAGGGTTAAAGGTTGGTCAAAATTGGGTGTCAACACTATGTATCCTCACCCGGCTCGCACCATCCATATTAGTAGGTGCTATGGCGCATTCTGTGAGTGTCTCTAATAAAGTACGCCATGGACGAATCCTCCGTGTAGCATCCTGCATGTACACAACATTACCATCGATGCGCAAACCAAATAATACATGCACATCATGTAATGTAATCGTGACCTCACCAAAAGGTAAGTGGAAGCAATAAGTCTCTGGCCTCCAACGCTCAATCATAGTTGTAACAAGGGCATGGTCATACTGCATCCTTCCCACACAAACTACATCATACAGTCTTGACCTACGTAAGATCTCCTCAACACGTCCATGAGGTCGATGCAAACGAAATAAATTCTAGGCATCATTCATGCGCACCGTCCTCATAGGGCTACTAAATGATATCTCACCTTTCCATAACAATTCTGATTTATGCTCATGCTGAGAGAGAAGAAGTGTACGATCAATCAGTCTAGGATTCACAACACGCTCCGTTATATTTTGTAAGAAAAATTCTATTAATTCGTTTAATATAATTATATCTTGACAAATTAAACCGTGAACTATCTTCAAACGAATAATTGTACAAAAACTAAAGAATCTCTAACTTCAGCAAGTCAATTAAATGTGTTATTTGTCGAGTCAACCACAAGAAAATAAAATAGGAAAAAAAAACCCATAAGGAACATATACCTAAAGAGAAACAGATGGAACCATATATTGGAACAATTGAGGGATGACTATATGTTTGATGAATTTTGTGTTCAGTTTTGCGGACAAATTTAACTAACTGAATTAACAAGAATATAACCATTTGTGCAATCTCAATTTATTGTCAATTTTTACAAGGATCTCGACACAATTTATGTGCATAAAAATAATACTCTACTATTATTTATTTTTTGTACTTTGATGGGATCTAAATGGTAGTTTGGGCACATTGCACATGGTAAAGTTAATATAGCCAGCAAGAACAAATGAAAATGAGTGTCCATCTAGAATAAAAAAAACATGAGACAAAAAGGTGTAATTCAACAGTAGTCAAATACTATTTTGCAATACCAATCCAACAGTGTAATTCTTTTTGTTTATTTCGAATTAAACACTTTTTTTCTAACTCAATATTTAGTAATTGAATGCACATTGTATAAGACTAGCTGAATTTTTGAACAAATCACAACATCATTTTAAAGTAATGAAAATATGAGATGGAAAAAAATACCTAATTTATATAATTTGTAGGATCGGATTGTTATGTTGTCGGGTTGTGCTACTCCAATTTTTCAAGATTTTTATTTTTTAGTGTAGGGTCGCTTCAGTTGTGGGATTGGGACCATCAACTGTTAATCTTCAAAGTGAAAAAAGTTTGGAAGCCATGAAAGTGAAAGGGGAGAAGAAGAAAATGAAAAGGTAAAATAACTTTTTATAAAGTGTAAGCTTTTCTTCCACTTTATAAGGTGTAAGAAATCTTACACTTTATAAAGTGTAAGAAAAACTTACACAAAATTCTTACACCTTATAAAGTGGAAGAAAAGCTTACACTTTATAAAATGTAAGAAATAGTTCCATTTTATAAAGTGTAGGAAATAGTTCCGTTATATATTAAAATATACACGTTTTGCGATTAATGAAAAACGTTTAGAATATTAGATAAAGTAGAATTTTTTCTTCCACTAAGCCTATTTTAGTTACTTACTAAAGTAGTGGCTTATTTTGGTCACTTATATATTTTTGTGGCTTATTTAGGTTCCGAACTCGTAAAAGCACACATGATTATGTCCGAAAAGTAAAATCCATTAATTGTCTTTCTTTTTTTTGGGTACCAAAGATTAAACTTCATTAACTAAACAGGAATGCTACAGGGAGTGTTCACAGACCTATTTGGTGATACAATACATTTTCACATGCCAATCTTTTGAAGTTATGCAACTGGAGTAGTTCTAACCATAACTTTGATATTCTTCATTTTCCATGTAACAGGCCAAAGGCAAATTACTCAAACAGCTTAGAATATCTTGCCTATAATCTTTCCACCACTTCATGAAGCTACTATGAGGATGGAAAATCTCAGAGGATACTGAATAGCTCCTATCATATTCATTACATATTCCCCAAAATTAACCAAATACTCCCTTGCATTGTCTTTCTCTTCTAGACTGCCTTCTCTCAGTCTTTTGGAATTTATAATAGCTTCCTCCACATATGCCTAAAAGCAAGAATCTTCGGTGAGGCTAACGGCCTTCCTTCTATCGTTACCACTTCCAGACGGGTTGTCTTCTTTCCTCCATTCCTCCAACTTTTTATAGTGCTCGGATCTACCAAGATTTACATAGTCTGTGTTCCCTGATTTCATATAGTATTCAGCTATGTCGAGTGGCTCGACCATCCTTCTATAGTTTGTCCCTGAATACAGCCAACGAGTACGAAAAGCTGCCTTCTCGCTTTGTGGCATTTCCTCTACTTCTGCAACCTTTGCTTTCCAGTACTTATTGAGGACTCTTTGGTACTTGACAATTTCTTGTCTGCTTTTGACAGCATCCCTGCCTCGAAAATCACTGCGTTTGTAACTATCATAGTAGCCTCCTTCATTCAGGGTTACTTTCATGTACCACTCTAGCCAAGCCATAGCTACTTTCATTTTGTTTAGCTTCTTGCCAGGATCTGTTGGAATGTATGCGTCCACTAGTCTAGATGGGACCAGGTCCTCAGCACAGTTACAAAACAGAAAATAAATAAAGTGCTGAAAGTAAAGATTGCACAACAACTTTACGTGGAAACCTCCTTGCTCAAGGGAGTAAAACCACGACCTGGCCTGCCAGGACTTTTCAAAACTTCTTTTACTAATCTTCTCCAAGCAAAAAAGCAAAAGCAAGTTTACAAACTAGGATTAACCTACTAATCCCAACTCTAAGTAATACCTCATATTACTTAGATGAGCTAGAGCGGACACAACACCGCTTACTATACTAATCCTAACTGATTAATATAGACCTTTTAGAGTAAGAGCCTAAGTTACCCTTAACCTAGTTCTTACAATGATTCAAAC